ACTCACTCACTCACTCACTCACTCCCCCCCTCCCCCCTTTCAAATCCAACCTCCGCAGACTTACCAGTTGTTCAAGAATACCAGCGTCACCGTACTCGCGATATTCATCAAAATACAAGCCCCGTCCGTGATTTGGCTGCGCAGAGATTGCTGTTTCGACGGGTTGGCCTTATCCTTTTGTATCTCCCCGTCTATGAGCCCCGTGCTGCTCATCTCCAAATCCTCCTCCAGGCGCTGCTGGGAGGCGCTCATACTCGCAATCCGCCGTCGAAGACTGGCGCGCCTTTACCGCTTGGAAGGTGGTCGTCGTAGAACCGTCTAAGGTTTTGACACGGGCTTCGGATGACAGGTAAGGAGGGCGAGAGGGTAAAAGCAAACCAACACGCGGGTTGAAGACCGGAGGGATGGTATGTCAAAGGTTCATTTGCGTAAACGTGGTGTTGGCGCGAGGTGGGAAGTATTTGATGGTGAGGCGAGGCTCATTTTAGAATCCGACATGATGGTGCAGGGAACAACATCAACACGAGGCTGACAATAATGAAACGATCCTTCAGATGCCGGCGAATTTGCTATTGGCTGACGGAGCATGCTACGCTCCATCACTGCTGCTTTTGCACCTGAGACGGCTTCGTATGGGAGATGAGCCGGGGGTAAAAGCGGCGCTGCAAAGACTAGGGGCAGGGGTCTACCGTAAAGTATGCCTGTTTACCCGCGGCTAAACCGAGTAGAAGAAAAAATATGTAAACAACGTACAACATGCAATCTCCAGGCAAAACCTCAGCTCCTTCTCCTTTTCTTGTCCTCATTTTCCGCCCATATCTTCAACTCCATCATCGATCGACTTCAACACCGCAATTGCTCCCTCCTGGTCTACTTCAAAGCTTTGTCCGCTACACGACACGAAACAAGAAAAGAAGTTTCAAACGCGAGACCTACCAACCTACCGTACAGCAGACAGAAGTACTTACCCTTCAGCCATCCCCCGCCAGCACCGTATTCATTAAATTACCTCTCATCCCACGCGCAGCGCTACCATGGGTCTGTTAAGGCAATTGCTCTACCTCTCCGTACACCCAAACCAACTGCGATCCATCCTGCAATGGCAAGTGAACCAACAGCTCCAATCTCCTCCCCATCACCGCTAATGGCGTGGCAGGCAGATATGGCATGAACCCGTGCACCTGCGGAATCCTGCAAAGGAGTCTGATAACGTCAAACAATGCTTCAAATACTTGAACATGACCAGCAGGAGCTTCAGCTCCGTCATCCAAGAACTCACCCCCGAGCTGCTGCTCCCAGTCGCGCTGTTCTACCTCATCCTGCGGGGGCTGGACACAATTGAGGATGACATGACGATCCCGCTAGAGTTGAAGGAGCCGAAGTTGAGAGGTTTTCATGATATTCTCGAGCAGGATGGCTGGACATTCACGGAAAATGGGCCGGATGAGAAGGACCGAGAGCTGCTTGTACATTTCGACGTGGTGATCCGGGAGTTCAAGCACGTCAAGCCAGCCTACCGGGCCATTATCAAGGACATCACCGAGAAGATGGGGAACGGTATGGCAGACTACGCGAACAATGCAGAGCACAGCTTGAACGGGGTCGACACGATCAAGGACTACGAAAAGTACTGCCACTATGTCGCCGGTCTGGTTGGAGATGGTCTGACGAGGTTATTCGTGGAGAGCAAGCTTGCAAACCCCGCGCTTCTGCAGAGACCAGAGCTTTCCGAGTCGATGGGTCAATTCCTGCAGAAGACGAATATCATTCGTGATGTTCGCGAGGATTTCGACGACAAGAGGCGGTTCTGGCCCAAGGAAATATGGTCCCGACACGTCACTAAGTTTGATGAACTCTTTGAGCCCCAGAATATCCAAAAGGCCCTTAACTGCAGTTCCGAAATGGTTCTCAACTCCCTGCGCCATGCGGATGAGTGCTTGTTCTACATGGCTGGCATCAAGGACCAGAGTGTATTCAATTTTGTAGCGATCCCTCAATCGATGGCTATTGCGACGTTGGAGCTCATCTTCCAGAACCCATCGATCTTTACGAAGAACGTCAAAATCACGAGGGGTGATGCTTGTCAATTGATGATGGAGTCGTCCCAGAATTTGCGGTCGTTGTGCGAAATATTCAAGCGATATGTACGGAGAATACAGAAGAAGAACACACCGAGAGACCCCAACTATCTTGCTATCAGTGTCGCATGCGCGAAGGTACCGACCGTTCCCTCTGTTCTGGATATGTCATTTTGCTCACAATGTCAGGTCGAGCAATTCATCGAAACCATCTTCCCCTCTCAAGACCCCAAAGCCCTCTCTCTCGTGTACAAGGGCGAGGCCGATCCAGCAGTCGAGAAGGCCAAGGCGGCGGAGTCCGAATCCAGGAAAGATATCCTCTACCTCATGCTTGCCGTCCTGGGTACCCTAGCCCTCATCTCAGGCCTTATGGTACCTCTTCCCTCTCTTCCTTCTCACGCGATTACTAACGATTCGTAGATCGGCGCAGCCTACCTTGCAGGCGCCCGCTTCGACATCGCCCTCGCCGAAATCTCCCAGGGAAACCTTATCCCAAAAGTTAGACAGGGAAGCGAAGGCTTCTCAGCTGGCGTAGATCATGGGGAACTATGACCAATCACGTTTGCCCCCCGCCCCCCCGTCTTTTGGTCCTGCTTTTGTACCAATAAAGTTTGCTTCCAATTTTTCCCCGGCGTTTCCTCTGGCTGGTTGCACTAGGAGCGTCCACAATTACATGTACTATTTTTGTACTTCTAGAGTCTAAGCTAATATCATTGCAATGCAATTGCAATTGGTGCCTTTCGATTTAGTCTCTGTGAGTAATCTCCTCCAGCAGGTTAATCTTTCCCCCGAATCCGAATTGTGGTCTCCTGATCGTGTCAGTTGAGTCGCGGGCTTTCGGGGGCAATGAAGTGAGATGTGGTCTCCTCCGGTGGGAAGAGAAGGAAAAGAAAAAAAGAACAAACCAGGACGAAGGAAGAAGAAGATGAAGAAGAAGAAGAAGAAGAACTAGCACGGATGTCAAATTGCAACTCGGTCCCTTTTTCAGTAGACTGCCTGTTGCGCCGAAGATGTGCTGATATCGAAGTCACCCCTTGCGATTGTCCTGTGATGGGAACGACTCCTGCGGACCTCTTCTTTCTTGATGGGGAGGGGCAGTTGGCGGATTGCATACATGCGTATCTATGTACACTTATGCCGAGGGGAATGTGTGACTCACCATGTATACACGTGTTTATATATATATATATATGAATATATCCGATGACCCTTATTTTTTTTTATTTTTTTTTTCTTTTTTTCCTTTTCCGAGGTTACTTGATGAGTATGGTGAACCTCCAAGCTGTGGTGCGGAAGAGAGGAGGACGTGGTGTGCGTGTAATGTGCAGGTACCTAGTTAGTTGAGAGGCACCGACAGAAGAAGGGGAGAGGCGAAGGACAGGATGAATGATGGCGTTCTGTATCGCTCTACCCAGCGGTGCTCCTTTCTCTGCTTCATCTCGGACGAATGGGCGTTTTTTGGCTGGAACTAGTGCAACTAGTGAGTGCACTGCGGGTACCGGTAGATGATAGGGAGGGGGAGGTGGGTTGTGGGTTGTGGGTTGTGGGTTGTGGGTGGATGGGGAGATTAGGCTGTTTGTTGAGTTGCAGGATGTTGGTGCGTTTTGGAGGGGGGGGGGGAATGTCTGCTTTGAAGATTGCTGGGTTGTTGGGTCGTTGGGTTGCTGTGGTTTTTGAAAGGGGGGAGAGGGGGGAGGGAGGAGGGAGGGGGCTTATTGTTTGGTGGAGGCTTTGATGAAGAAGGTGTGGGGATCTGAGGAGAGGAGGGGGGGGAGAGGTGAGGAGAGGGGGAGGTAGGGTGTTTGAGATTATCCCTTTTGCGTGTTTGCGTGTTTGCGTGTTTGCGTGTTTGCGTGCTTGCTTGCTGAAGAGGGTCTCAAGTATCAGTATCGATTGTCGCCTTGTCCATTTGCCGGTTTTACAGGGGATATATATACACACATATGTATTTGCATGTATGTATGTAGGTATGTATGTATGTATGTATGTATGTATGTATGTATGTATGTGTACAACTTGTAGGAAGTACGTTGGAGCATAAGCACGAGAGAATAATCTCCATCTCTCCTTTGGACAAAGAAGTATGCCGGATCTTCGTACAAAGAAAGAATACCTGAGAATAACTCTTGTCTCGCTACCGTGGTCAGTCTTAGGGATGGCTATAGGCTTTATTAAGTGTTGTTGCTGAAACCACGATCCATCGGTCGGGCAGACAGACAGACAGACAAGACAGACCATCACCTGATCTTCTCACCGAAGCGAGGTCCTTTCTTTCCCCCTGCATAGTGGCACGCTCCAGTCTCTCTCTGACAGGCTTCCTCCAACGGCTTCCGGAAGTCCTGAAAGCGGTGTTGACGCCGACGCGAAGGAGATTTGGCACGCCGTCATCGGAAACGTGGCAGGGTGAGACTTGTCTCTCGGCGCGACCGAAAGCCACTCCTCGAGGGACCTCTGAATGGTAGTTGCCCATGCCCGCTGCCGGCGACTTTCATTCCAGAAGGTCGAGATGAGGCGCTGCGGCCGCCCGCTGCCCGTTCCCTTGGAATTCCAGAACGCTCAGTCAGCTTCCTTTCACCTCCGCTGCTTTTCGGGCCACTGACAGTCGCTGCTAGCATACCTACTGAGTCTGCTGGTCCTGCTTGCCTCCTGACGCAGAGGGACTTGCTTCGGATTGCTTGACCCAGCTCCGTAAGAGGATCTGAATAGATGGGCCAAGATTGCATACAATTCTGCTATGCCAGGGCGAGCGCCCGGCTGGTATAACAGCGGGCGTGCGTACAGAGGTCGTATTCCCTTTGCTTTTCTGGTTTTGATATCAGAGAGACCTCCGTATCAGAGCTTGCCTGCAAAAATGCGTCACTTCTCTTCCGCGCTCCTGCTGCTGGCTGCGACGGCTCTAGTCAGCGCTCTGCAGGATCCCCACGAGTATGCAGCAAAGCTCGCTCGCGCCAGTCAAGACTCGCCGGGTGGGAAGACGGCTCACAAAGACGGATCGGGCTGCCAGGATTCGGCTAAACATAGCGTGGGGGCTTTCTCCAATCCGAAGACCGCGAGTGGGTGCCCACCTACCGGCCTGCTCCCCTTGTGATGTGTGGATTTATGGCGCTGACGGTATCCAGGATTCGCGGTCAAGGGCAACAAGTTACCAGATGTCAACTTCGATATTGGCGAGTCTTATGCTGGCACGCTGTCGGTTACCAATGTCTCGAGTGCCGCCGATCGACTGTATTTCTGGTTCTTTCCGTCTGCGAACCCGGCTGCTAAGAAGGAGATTGTCATCTGGTTGAATGGCGGGCCGGGATGTAGCTCTATGCAGGGCGTTCTTCAGGAGAATGGTAGGAGTGTTTGGGGGTGGTGCGTATGTGTTTGAGCTGACTTTAGAAAGGTCCGCTTTTGTGGGCGCCGGGAACCTACGAGGCGGTCCCGAATCCATACAGCTGGACGAAGTTGACGAATGTGGTCTATATTGATCAGCCAGTGGGCACTGGGTTCTCTCAAGGCAATGTACCGGTCAACAATGAGACGGATGTCTCTAGGCATTTCCTAGGATTCTGGAAGAACTTTGTCGACACCTTCTCTCTGAAAGGATACAAGGTCTACATCACAGGTGAAAGCTGTAAGTTGTATTTGTGCCTACCCTACGCGTGACTGTGAAAGCTAGTGGCTACACCTTGGCATTGCTGACCCCGGGTCTGGTATCTAGATGCTGGGCAATACATCCCATATATTGCCGCCGCCATGCTTGATACTGGAGACAAGAGCTATTTCAATGTCTCTGGTATCCAGATCAATGATCCCCTCATCAATTACCCGGCTACTATGCGAGAGGGTGAGCTATCTCTCTTCCATATTGACAGCTGATACTAAAATTTACAGTCACTGTTATACCGGCTCTAGAACGGTATGAACTCATATCTTCCTCCTTTTCACTTACCTCCTGGCGTGATCTCTGATACCTTACAGCTACAACAATGTCATACCCTTGGACGAACCCACCGTGACCCTACTCAAGTCACAAGCGGATTCGTGTGGCTATACAGACTTCCACAATAATCACACTAATAACTTCCCGCCCACTGGGCCGATCCCCGAACCTCCTAGTCCTTCAGCACCTGGGTGTAATCTCTGTTCCATAGCACCGAACTGTAGTCTGTACGCCCTAGTCGTTGTCGCCGCTCTCCAAAATAATCCATGCTTCAACAGCCTCCACCTGACTGACTTTTGTCCCTACCTCTGGAATGCTCAAGGATACCCATCACTCGCTGGGGGCCCCAACAACTACTTCAACCGCTCCGACGTCCAGAGGGCCATCAATGCACCAAAGACAGACTACTACGTCTGTCTACCCCGGCCAAATCTCTTCCCCCGGGAAGACACTTCCCTCCCATCCGGCCTCGGCCCTCTCCCTTCTGTGATCGAGCGCACCAAGAACGTCATCATAGCCCACGGCATGCTCGACTTCCTCCTGTTCGCCGAAGGCTCTCTCATCACCATCCAGAACATGACGTGGGGCGGTCTCCAGGGCTTCCAGTCCCGTCCCAGCGCAAGCAAGAACTTCTGGGTCCCGTTCCACGACAGCATCGAGACCATTATCGGACTCGTCTCGGCGCCGCTCCCAAACCCTGCTCCGCAGTATAACACCGCTGGTGCTGGACACCAGGGCACGACGCACAGTGAGAGGGGGCTGACGTTTGTGACGGTGGATTTGGCAGGTCACTTCATGCCGCAGTACACCCCTGGTGCGGCTTTCAGACAGCTCGAATTCCTTCTGGGGAGGATCTCAAGTTTGGAACAGCGTGGACCGTATACTGCATAGGCGGAAAGGGGGCTTTTTTGGGGGGGGGGGGGGGGTGCTGAGCTGATGCGAATCTGGTACGCATTCTAGGGAACTTAATAGATGGATAGGAACGGATCACGGAGTTTCGCTATATAGCTATTTAATACAAGGAAGGATTTCGATTCTGACATCATGTGCGTCTGGTCCGACGTGATATACACCTCGTTTTCACGACTGAGAGAACTCGGCTTCAACATGACACTTCCGAGTGGGAGTCCGCCAGTGAAAATTCAACGATGCTGATGCGGATAGTGCTCAATTTTAGATTTCCAAGTATCCGAGCCGACTGTTGTGAATTGAATATCCGTTAAGCGGACGAGTGTAGACACTTAAATGCATTTACTGGCTATCATATCATATCATATATATATATATACTACAAAGCCCTTCCCGGCTATCTTCAATAGTTACATCGTAGTCCTCCTCATATCTGATATTGATTCTGGCCTTTTCCTCCCTCTACAAAGCTCCATCAAGGTGTAGCTTCAGAGCTCCACCACGGTGTAGCTGTTCCCAATGCGAGAACTTCACCCTTGGGCCTTCTTCGCTTAAGTCACCCCGACCCCTACATATTGTTGACCAACCGCCGACAATAGCAAGCGAAAAGCTTTCCGCCAGCTACAATGCTACAATAGCAGAGCACGCCGCCGGCGATAGTATTGTCGCGGAACAGCGCCAGCATGCAGATCTACATAAGAAAAATCTCCACCGCAAGAAACTCTTGCCGCTTTCCTCTCTCGTTCCTCGGGCCACAGCGACAGCGCGACGACTATCACTGCGGAGTTTGGAGCAATGGTCTTTATCGTCTAGAGGCTGATTGATACCTCTCATATCACACGATTATTTCTGATTCTCTCTTTCTATTTCCATCAACACCGCCAGGCACTACCGATGGCTGCGCGCACGCCGCACCAGCACGTCTACTCCCTCGGGATGCAGATCGTTCACGACAGCTCGGGCGAGACAGACGGGGACGTCTCCGACTTTGAGCTCGAAGCGGGCTATCCAGCCATCCAGAGTGCTGCCGACGACGAGGAGAGCAGCAGCAGCGAGCGCGGGAGCGGGAGCGAGCCAGCCGTCTCCATCCGCCTCGACGACTCGGACGCCAAGGAGGAGATGAGCGAGCGCGCCCCTTCTCCCTCTCCCCCTCCCCTCTCCCTCCTCATCACCATCGACTCTCCGCCTCGAATCACCAGCAGCAGCAGCAGCACCGCGACCAGCAGCGTCTCCCAGCCCACGGTCTTCACCAGCTCCTCGCCTTCCTCCTCCAGCGGCCCGCGCGCCTGCCTTCAACCCCGCGCCCTCGCACTTCGTGCGCACCCGCCGGGGCCGCTCCACCGTCTGGAGCATGGCGGACTGGGCCGCGCAGCGCGGGGCCGTCGTGGCGGCGGAGGCGAGACGGCTGGCGAACGAGAGGCGGTGGGCTATCAACGGGGGCCGGGGACCGATCTCGCGGCGACGGGCGTGGAGACGGGCGAATGCCGGACGGGCGCGGGACGCCAGGGGGCGGTTTGTGAGGCAGTGAGGGGTGTATGTGTGTGTGTGTGTGTGTGTGTGTGGTGGCCTGGTGGGGTATCTGGACGGGGGCGTTTGCCGTGTGTGTTTTGGGCGGGAGGCCGGATGGATGGATGGTGACGGTGACGGTGACGGCGTTTTTCGGGCCGCTTCTCTCTCCGGTGCGGCGGTTTTGGGGCTGGGATCTTTTTTTCTTTTTTGCAGTGGCAGTGCAGCGTGCTTGTTCCGCGTGCGTGGTTTCTTCTGTGCCCGGTGGGCGGTGCCGAGGGCGTTCACAAATGAGACCCTCCTTCTGGCTGGCTACGAACTTGCCGACTCGATCGTTTGGTATGTCCGAATATGGATATTGTGAGACCTGGCCTGCCTAAATCGTTCATCCGCAGGACGAGGTGTGATCTCGAGTGACGGAGAGTTCTGCTTCCTTGGCAGCCTCCCTGTGTCCCGGTATCAGGCGGACCTGGTTCCGATGATTGCGAGGAAGTTCGACCGTCCACCTGCCGAAAGAGTCGCCTTTGGGCCCGACTGCTGCGTCTGGCTTACGGGCCGTGAGGAGGTACAGGCACAGGTACGCCATTTGCATGCTTGATCTCGCAGGCCTCGCCGTGGGAAGGTTTTTGCCACTTTGTTGACATGCATCTGCTAAGCGAGGGCAGCCTTCCTTCGCCGGCAGAAAAATTCGCGGCGCTATGCAATACTGAGAAAACAACGTAGTCATGGCTGTCTCTCCGGCGCGAGAGATGAATTTCTCGGGTGCGTCGTAATTTATCCTGCCAGTTGGCTGCAAGGAGTCCCGACTGGATCTTCTCCCGTAGAAAGAAGTGCGCGGCTCTGCAGATCGAAGCAGCCTTCTCATGCAGCCTTTTTTTATCAACCACTTCTTAGCAGCGCAAGCGGCAAGGATGAAGAACCATGGCTCCTGAAAATCTATCGGCGTGGTATGATCAAGTCGTCGTGCCTGTGGGCAATCGAGTCTCGAGCCCACTCGTGAGAAGAACTTGAGTGTTTAGAATTATCGCTACCTACCCGATGGTGCGATTGAAAGAACAGGCACGAAAATTGCTCCGGTGAATCTCCTGACTTTGCACTCATGATTTGTCACCTTCCCTAGACCGAAGACTTGCCGAAATTTGTAACTTGGCTATGGTATGAAATGCTCACTTTTTTGACAATCAGCCTCCCCATTGGCCTAGTCTGAAGGCTGGCTAGTCAATTTGGCTAGTCATTCGACAGACTCGCGATGCGAGGAAGTGTGTAATGGTTACCTCAACGGGTTGCTTAAATGAGTGAACTTTCTTGAGCTCCGCGCAACGCGTGGTGCTTTCGTGGAGGGATCTGCCCCCGTTGAAACAGAGATACTCGATGGTGAGTATATTTTTTTTTTTTTTTTTTTCTAAACCCCCTCCTCCCCCCCCTTTGTTTTTTGCCTTGTTATCGGTTGAGGTCTTGCCGGATTTAGCCCAGCTGTGGACATGGAGGGTGAATGAAGTTTGGCCGTATATTTTTGAATCTCTCGAGCGGCACAAACAAGTGACAGCTTACCAAACTATGAACACGCATTATGAGACTCCATGGCAATACTTTCACCAATAAGGAGTTTGAATTGAACTGCTTTAAGGCATACTACTGGATAAATGAGCAAGGATCTCATCAGCAAGTTTTTTTCTTTCGCGAAATGGGTTATCAGCGACAAGCTGGTGTAGTGAGAGGAGACTTGCTTGGCATAGGATACGGGCATTGGGTATTTTAAGAACTGAGAGTTTCAACAGCCAGTGTTTTTATGGATATCATCTAAGAATTCAACTTCTGCAACCTCGTCAGTTTCACCAAGCCAGCAACGACCATCCATAGTATCAGCGCAATAAGCTGCTGCCTTCTCACATGGTCTTGAATGCTGCGGCAGCCACTCTCTGCTGGAAATATGCTGCGTACTAGAACTGTATTGATGGCCATTACCAAGCCTGCGCTTGTTGACTCAGAGAAGTCAGGCATGTGAGCAGACGAGCATAGAAGCAGACATACGGTGGTAGATCCATAGGCAGAGAAGCTCGTGAAGCATCGGCAGCTGTAAGGCGAAACTGCCGCATTTCCGCGGCAGTTCAGTTAATGTCGTACGGTATAGGGTTATAAGACTGGTTATTGCAATGTGCATTGTAGGTCTGCTTTTGCACAACAGTTAAGCCAAATGGCTCTCTATGACAGCGCCCCTGCGGTACAGCTGCAGCATCAGGATGTCGTGTGACCCACGTTTCTGCTGCTCAATCTCCCACACTTGTGATTTTGATGATCTATGGGACTGCAATCATTGCATAGCTAGTTACAGCATCCTATGACATGGCACCACCACCGGGTCTGACCAGACTCCAGATATTCCACACGAAGCTTTCGGAGCAGTGGCTGAGTGACGACTTGATTTCCGAGAGAGAGATGCATACTAAAAGTATGTCTAGTCATTTGCGGTCCGGCCTAGGCAGACTGAACGTCACACTTCTCTTAGATTTTGCCGAACCTCAGCTAGAAATCTCACTACAACCATGTCGGACAAAAAAGAAAGAATCGAGCTAGGAAAGAGAAATCAAGTACAGGACTATAAGGATTACGAGAGGAGACCAAGTCCTGCACGATTTATCAGATCGAAAAAAGTACCGCTTGCTCTAGATAAACTCGCTATAAAGATGGAGCAGACTGATGAAAGTTTACAAGATCATGATAACGACCTGCCACGCCTTGCTCTAAAGCATACCTGGCCATACGGAGTTCTTTCTCGCTAAGAGCTGGCCGCGCTTATGATTCAGCGACTTACGCATACGCATGGCTAGCTCTTCTTAAAATTGGTAATAAAGAAATAATGCGTTGTTGAGAGGCAAAGGAGAGGGAGGAGACTTGACTATAACCAGCCATAGCTCCATGAGGTAGCTATATTCAACACAAGTCAGATCGTATATACATCAAATTGCGAAGCTACTCCTCCCACAGGTTTAAGGATAACGATGATGCATCTCGCATCCTGCCTTGTGCATAGATAAGTGGTAGTACTGTAGATAGTAAAGATGTATAGATAGGTAGGTAGGTAGATCCAGTCCGCACCATATTATAGGAAGGGGTGATTTTTCAGCCGGTAATTAGTGCATTGATTGAACTGTACCTATTTTTAGCGCAAATTAGAACTCGCTTCGGCATTGGGTCCTTACGGAGTATATGGGGTTGGGTAACCCCACCCGACTTTATCACCTCTGATCCTCCAGACCTCCAGCCCTCCAAACCTCCAGAACCTCCGAAACCTCCGTACCACACACTCATTCCTGTGCAGTACGCGCGCAGACAGCAACTGCAAGAACCATCTCGGCACGGCTGCTCTCAAGAACTCTCTCCTTTTCTCTTCAGACAACACGACGTTTCAAGCACTGCCCCGAATCAGCCCTGTCTTCCTTCTCGGATTCCAGCCCTGGAGCGGCAGCGACAGCGACAGTGACCTTCCCATCATATCGCATTCCTCTCCTGCCTCTCATAACAGAAGCCTTAACCTCCGCGGATACACACTTGTTCACCGCTGATTGAGCCAGCTACTTATTACGCATTGATACTTCATGCCGACGATTGTTCCACATTACTTTGGTCATTAAACCGCTGGCAGTCCATGACGACGAGCAACACCTACGGAAAAAAGCGACTCAACAAAGGGAGAACGGAAGATCTTCAAAATGCATACAGACTCCATGTCACTAAGGCTGGACGATACAGGCCACCCTATGCTGCCTCTGATCATGACTACAGCATCCACACCTGCGACTCCTGGCCCGTCGACACCTACAAATGCCCGATCAGGACCTTCAGAGAAAGCAGACGCCCTTGACCAGAATATTGTGCCCCCGGTACGACCCCAGAGCACGCCATTCCCGCACCAAGATTTGATGGATGGAAGCATAAATTGTTCACAGCGTCTCCTCGACATGGAATGCCTTGATTCTCTTGATACGCCTATTACAGAGGAAAGCCAACCCTCACAGGGGCCTCCTTCTTCAAAGTCACTTATGGAACTCCCTATAGAGATCCATGAATGTATTCTGGACCATCTTTTTGGAGTGAGAGCTTCGGCGGCTTCGAGAACGGCGGCAGCAGGAAACACAAAAATACTTCGAGGCTGGGGCTCAGCATTGCGCCATTCAAGACGCCGCGAGGTCTCGGAATTGGCGCTCGTCAGCAAGGAATGGAGGGAGCTTGTTCAGGACAGGCTTTATCGACACTTGAAGATCAAGGCAACCAGAGCTTCTGTGGACCAGGCCATGATATATTTCGCCCTGCATCCGCAGCTATGCTCCCATGTTAAGCACATTGAGTTCTGGTTCCCGGTATTTCAGCAAAAGAACCCGGCCTTCGATCGCACCCTGAGAATACCTTCTACGACCCCTGATCGCTCACTTCAGATTCGAGCTGTGGGCAGTCTCGCGGATGCATTGACTCCAATCACATACCAGACTCCAGAGAATAACTGTACTTTGGATGAAGTGTTCAGTTTTGTCAAGATGACCTTTGGGGAGGCTTGCATTCTGACATTGGAAGGTGGCGAGAGGAAGAAGCCGCCTATGGTCCAACATTTCCGGACCTCCACCACAGATCCAGCAAATACCAAGCTCCCAGTCATCAAAACCATTCGTACTTTGGTTTGCAAGGGCCAATGGAATCTCATTCGGACGGACCAAGACTTCCAAAACATAGCAAATGCACTACCAAACCTCAATGAGTGGCATGCTTCATACGCCAAGCCAAAATCCAAGAGCTACCTGTCGATGGCTACAATCCTCCCGAAGCTATCTGAAACCCTCACCCATCTGAATGTCTGCCTTGAGGCGGATTACCGACGCGAGACGTCGGTCCCATTTTTCTTCAAGAAGGTCAATAGAGTCACGCACTACTGTGTCGAGATGGCAAAGGCGATTCCAACCCTGGAGCACTTATCGTACACGGGAAGAGTCTGCAAATCATTCTTCGATCATGGTGCCAAAATATCGAATCCTCGGCGCTCACGTTTGAAAAGCATAGATATTATCGCCAAGAATGTTTGCAGACCAGCAACCGATTGGAGCAATGGCTCAGGTATCACCGAGGGAGGATTCGTCTCGGCTTTCGAAGCATTGGTTGTTTCATCCGTCAAGTCGTTGGACACATTGGCAGCATTGGAATTCTTGCGGATTCGTTTCCTCGACCTAGGTAAGCTCCCTCCAGCCCGGTTTGCCTCGAAGTGAACACCAGGCAGCTAATTTCGCCAGATTTCCAAGTCCCAGCTCTAAACCCCTATTTCCAGCTAGAGAACAAACAGTGCACAGGCCTCTGGAGTGAGACCATCGTCGACGCCCTGACCAAGGCCCGACCAAGTGCTGCCTTCGCCGAGGCGCCCCGCGATCTCACCGACATTGGTGTAAAGGACGGCCAGGTCCAAACCCCAGCGAACTTTTCCAAGACGAAGCCCCTATCCATTAAGCTTTCCACCTACCAAGCTTTCGCTGGAACTAGTGGTATCACAATACATTGATCTACCTCGGCTCCACTCTTGCTTTCCTGTTTGTGGTAGAAGATCTGCGAAATGTGTCTCAGCTAAAGAAACTCGGGATGGAAAGAACTGATATTTGCGCGAATTTGCATTGCTTTTGTTCTGCATGTCTGAAATATCCCGTTCGGCGAAATGTTTGTAGCACTATCTGCGTGGACGGGTTGCAAGTGGGCATCAGTGAATTTGGAGTTTTCAGCGTGGAGTTTCTCGCACTGGCATTCAACGATGGCTTTTGATCATTGAACATGGGCATGGAGATGCCGGCTGGCTGACCCGTGGATAGAGCATAACGGACAGAAGAGTGATGCTATCTGCTTGGCTTGGCTGGTCTGCAATCATGTAGTTTCTTCTGATCATTGCGTGCATCGACCAAGAATGACAGTAAGGGTAGACGCTGTGGCACTAATACACGGTGATTCTTCATACTTGCCTCCATTCCTCTCCAACCTCTCGGCTATGTCTTGATGTACTTTCTCCCCATCTTCTTATCCCAATCCACAGCAGCAGATCCCCCGATATCATTCACGATGATGCCCAGGATCCAGCAATTAGTCAGGAAGAACAGCATACTGGCTACCCATAACCCAGGCGCGAACGTGCTGTTTCCCAGGAACTCGAGCTGGAAGCCTTGCTGCAACCAGAGGGCTTGCGTGGAGACCCAAAGTGCAGCCGCGGCTATGCCCAGGGCTGATCGCGCGAGGAGGGAGGAGCGCGGGAGGTAGAAGGGGGCAAAGACCATGTACCAGAGGAAGTACTGACAGGTGGCTGCCATTAGCGAGACTTTTGCCGGACATTACGAGCGAGGGGTATGTATTCAAAGACGGGGGATGGAAGTGAAGGGGTAAGCGGGGGTAAAGACGTGACGTTACCTGGCTAGTGCAGACTTTGTTGAAGGTTACGAAGGCGAATGTTTGCGCGAGCATGGTTGACGGGAGGTCTTTCTTTGCGAGGAGGAGCGGGAGGGCTATGGCTGAGAGGAAGAGTTGTGGGATGAAGGCCAGGGATTCGAGTTTTAGGGTTGGCGAGGAAGCGGGGAGGGAGGAGGAGAGGTAGAGGAGCGTGTTGTAGGGGGAGAAGTTGTGGCGGTGGTCGATACGCGTGATGTGGTGCAGGTAGGTGTGTTGGAGGAAAGGGAAGCCGTAGCTGTGGCAAGTTTAGCAAGGGATAAGCGATGTGAGGGCTGAAAGGGTTGAAAGGGTCGAACGATGCTGGGCCAGGAGGCTTACATGGAGTACATCAATATGTTCAAGCCACCAAACGTAGCCAGACTGGTGAGCGTGAGGGTTATCCTAGGAGCATTGCAAAATCTCCTTGCCACACGGATGAGATCCGAGCCCTGTTCAGCAGCTTTGGTTTGCTTGGTCGCATTGCTTCCGATGTGCTCATCGTCCATCCACCAGATGATAGACGGCGCATATATGAACGGGTAGATTTTGAAATGCACACCCAGTCCTAACAGCACCCCCGCCAGCACAATCCTCCTCCTCGTAATAGCCCACAGCAGCGCGATGACCATCACGCCCAGCAAGCCCTCCGAGCTCCCCCTCGTGCTGATGGTAGCCACCATGGGGTTGAGGAGCCAGATACTCGCGAACTTCAACGCCCGCTCCAGGCTCATGCTCACGCTCATGCTCGTGCCCATCCCACCCGATTCCGGGCTTCGCAAGACAAGGACAATGAGCCATCCGGCAATGATGTCGCCGACGGCAAACAGAACCTTGCCGAAGGAGAACCACGTGCTGGACCAGGCTGTGGGGAGCAGCAGCCAGGCGAGCAGGGGCGTGTAGCGGTAGGTTTCGCGGGCGTAGGGCGAGTCCCCGTGGGACACGAAGCGCGACGCGTCGGTGAAGACGTAGTAGTCTATATCGGTGTATTTGAGAGGCGAGTTTGCGTCTTGCCAGAGGCCGTAGAAGAGGAGGACTATGCGGAGAGAGACGGCGGAGGAGAAGACGAGGACGGGGCTGGAGAAGAATCTGGACATTTTTGAACACAAAAGGGGAAGAAAATGATATGATAAAGGAAAAATGATTTCGAGATTATTTCAAAGCGAAAGGATTGAGACGAGCTCAACAAGTGAGTGAGGAGGTGATGTCTTCACTTCACGAGAGAGACTAGATGTTTGTGAGTTTGCCCGGATGATGCCTGCTACCGGTAGTGCCCCAGCTTTCGATCCCAAGTACCCTCCAGATTAGACCTTGACATGTCAGCACCCCTGCAGATCATCAACTCCACAACTCCGAAATCGAATCTCTCACGAGAGACTCATCACTCAATGCCCATGTCCGATCCAGCGAGCGACATGCCCGGCATCAAGAGACACCATGACGGCGCCGTGAAGAAAGAGGACGGCGATGGCGCCCAATCGCCTTTTATGGCCATGTTTGAGGTGTTTCGCGACGAGTTAGATGAGCACCATGATCGCAGGGAGAGGATCATCAAGGCCGGGAGGGATATCACTGCTGCCAGCAAGAAGATGTGAGTTGAGGTCGCTGTTCCGATGGATTTGAGCGACACTGATATTCGACAGAATCTTCGCGCTTCAGAGGTAATGTCACGTGTGCCTCGTTTCCAGATAGAGAGAGAGAGAGAGAGAGACAGCTGACTGATGGGATAGAGTCCGGTCGTTGAAGAGCCCAGTACCTGCTAAGATTGCATCGGAGGTTCAAGAGAAGATGTTGGCAATGCAGAAGCAGTTCGAATCAATCGCGCCGGACCTCACTGGCATCAACGCTTGGCGATACCAGCGACAGATCTCAGGCGGCATTCAAGAGTACATGGAGGCTGTCTCTTTTCAGCACTACCTCATCAACCAAACCCTCATTACGCTCGAGGAAGCCTCCCGGCAGCTGCCGGATGCCGTCACGCTTACAGGAGATGACTACGTGCTCGGCATCTTCGATTTGGTGGGCGAGCTGATGCGGTTTGCGATCACCACAATTGCTACCACGGGTGCGCTTCCTGGAAGTAAAGATGAAGACGCGGAGCAGGGTGAGAGGGATATCCTGATCGATTTGAGGGAACTGAGGACCAGCTTTCAGGCGCTCGATACGACGAGTTGTTGGGGGACTGGGCTGGGGAAGGATGTCCAGAAGAAGATGGAGGTTATGAAGACGTGTGTGGAGAAGGTTGAGACGGCGGTCTATGGCATGATTATTCGGGGAAGAGAGAGGCCGAAAGGATGGATTCCTGATTTGATGGAGGATCGGGGAGGTGTTGTCGAGAGCTACTGAGGGCTTACGGTCCCTGGTGCGAGCTGGGTGTTCCGATTCCGAATGGCAGTGTACCAAAAAAAAAAAAAGTCTGGGAACGGAGCATAATCCTCACGAAGACACAGAATCGAATCGGCTGTAGGAATACTAAGCCAGAGGTTATTGTAGGCAGCGAAAGCCGTAGCTCACACTACCAAGAGAATAATATATGTTACCGCTCAATGCCGGAATTGACGTTTGTATTTCTGAATTTTCTTACCCGATACTTCTTTGATAACTGGTGATTTATATTATATATATAGGTATATATGTGTTTTATATACATAGCCTCTGGAAGACCCTGAGAACCTACCCGGCGCTAGGCTACAATCAGCGCCCCCGACAGGCCCCTGTCCAGACGACCCTGCTTTTGGTGGAGCTTCCAAGCTTCTTGGAGCTGTTGGAGCGATAAATATTCTCCTGTCGACAATCGAGTTCAGCAGTTCAAAATCGTCGCAAGCATGTTCAGATGGTATGTATTGATCAAAACCACCAATTGAAGAATCTGCCCTGAAGCCAATGGATATTGATCAATTTGTAGGTACCAAATGAAGCTGGCCTCGCGCCCAATCCTCACCCAGAGCGTCACCACAGCTGTGCTGTTCGCGACCGGAGACACAATGGCACAACAGCTGGTTGAGAAGAAAGGACTGGAGAAGCACGATCTGGCACGTACCGGACGGATGGCTTTGTATGGAGGAGGTAAGCCTTACAATTCTTCCTTCCTCCTCTCCTTTTCTCCAAGCTCTAGTTCATCGCTAAATTCCACGGTGCAACAGCGATCTTTGGCCCAGCTGCCACAACCTGGTTCAAGTTCCTCCAGAACAAGATCGTCCTCCAGAACAAAAACGCCGAGATCATTGCCCGCGTCGCCTGCGACCAGACGCTCTTCGCCAGCACCAACCTGTTCTGCTTCCTGAGCAGTATGGCCATCATGGAGGGCACGAGCCCGCAGGACAAGCTGGAGCAGAGCTACTGGACGGCGCTGAGAAGCAATTGGATGGTGTGGCCGTTCATCCAATGCGTCAACTTCAAATTGGTGCCGCTGCACCACCGGGTACTGGTTGTCAATGTCATCTCGCTCGGTTGGAATTGCTACCTGAGCTTCTTGAATAGCCAGGGTGGGAAGTAGAGTGACTTGGGGGAGGGATGGTTTATACAAGGCGTGCCTGGATGGAGAGAGCTACATCTCTTTGAGTCTATATTGACAGGGATTGCTGCTGCATAAGAGCCAGCTGCATATAGGGTTCTACCAGACAAATTGGCGTTGAGGAGTTCCGAGTCGCAGTCGGCAAGCAGGTACTGATGCCCAGTAGATCCCTGGCATCATCGGTATTTTAGGTATCTCTGAGCGAGGCTTTTATGTCAATTGTCAATCCATCTCAAGTGCTTCTACGGGCTGGCCTCAAAACATGAAGTCACGGAAAACAAGAAGTACATAATTTCATTTCCATGTTCAAGTCCCTTCTGTTTCTATCTAATTTAGTACCTCAATCGTCTCGAGTATGTACCGAAGTAGCCATATACTGTAACAATTGTCCGGGGTAGGGAGGCGGGGGTCTATTTATTATTTTGTTTTATTTATTTATTTATTTAATTTAACGTCACTCTAGTAGAACTTTATGTATGATGTATAGCAGATATATATAGCAGATGATGCATATCCAAATAGAATACACGTGACAGCTCCATGGCTTTGCATGGTTCCAGAGCGCCGGGATCTTTGCCTTTGCCCTTCTTTGGACAAGCGCGCCTGCAGGCCATTCCACTTCCAAATGTGAGCGGAAATGTTAAATCTCAAATTCAATCTCTGCGCAAACAACCACCGACAACAACTCCATATTCTAGTCGCCGCTCCCACGAACCTCTGTCGTGTCGAACTTGCCTGGAGCAATAGTCGCCCAAAGCCAAAGCCTCATCTTCACCTTTCAACTTCCCATTCCAATCCGATCTCGAGTCCCTCCTTCCTCTGCCCAGCTCCGGCTTCGGATTCGGCCTCACCTTCACCTTCACCTTCAGCTTCAGCTTCAGCTTCACCTCCAGCTTCACCTCCAGCTTCACCTCCAGCTTCACCTCCAGCTTCACCTGCCTAATCTCACCCCGGCAACCACAGACGAAACACCTACCGACCTATCTACAAAATACCCCCTCCCTCTCCCTCTCCCTCTCC